ACAGAAAGGGCAGTGCCACTGGATTCCAGAGTATGTGGAGACAAGCTATAGGAAGACTGGAAAGGTTGAATGGGGACCAGGTTATGAAGGGCTCTGAATGCTACAGAGGATTTTATTTTTGATTCTGGAGGGCAATAGGAAGCAATTTATGTAATTTATGCAATGAGAGTATAACATGGTCAGACACCCCCCCCCCCAACCCTTTCTATCAGTTTGACAGCTGACTGGGGGATGGACTGAAGTGGGAAGAGAGTTGAGGCAATCAGACTCTCCCCAGCAGCTCTTGCAGCAGTCCAGGTGTGAGGTGATGAGGGCCTTCACAAAGGTGGGAGTGCTTTCCAGGGATAGTGAAAGGGTGAACATGACAGGGTTCAACTACAGATTTGATACGAGGATTGGGGGTGATGCACTTAGTAGTGGAAGATTGGACCTAGGGTTCTTGACTGAGTGACCAGGAAGCTGGTGCCTATCAGGAATTTACAGAGATCTGAAGAGACAAGGAAAGCCTCACACCTGGTGATTTGTCCTTTGGCAGCCAGCTAACTCTTTCTATGGAGACATTTGGGATAGTTTTTCTCCAAAGCTCAGTGGCATAGAAAAGAATTTTTCCTGGAAAAAAAAAAAAACTTGTTACATTGGTAGCAGTGATGATATTAAGGTCGAGGTGGGGCATGGCACTGGAGTATGGAAGACAAATCAAATCAGGGTACAGATTATAGGCTTATAGAGTGTTTTAAGAAGTTGTTCAGTACCTTCAGTCCTGTCTGACTCTTTAAAAAAATTTTTTTTATTTAATAAACAAATGCACAATACGAAAAAGTAAAAGAAACATATTAGGAACTTAAATATTGAAACTTATATACAAAATAAGGCAAGAAAAAAGTGTGTCATGTGTACAGCAGAATGTGAGAGGATTCAGAATATACAGTAATAAGTGTCCATTTCAAGAAAGCCTGCCTGTATAATCAATACTATGCATTTCGTTGAAAACTGTCCATCTTTTCTTTACTTCCTTGTAAGTTTTCTTTTGTTCTATGCTGTGCACTTTTTACTTTGCTCTTTTTTCTCCTTCTCTCATTCCTTCCCCTCCCAGACACTACAATTAAGCGTGGATAAATTTATAGATAGATAGATAGATAGATAGATAGATATGTATATATACACCTATACATAAATACACATGCATACATATATGCATACATATTTACATATATAAATATATACATTCCTTAACAGATTCTAACCCTAATCTTTGTTTTTATGTTGAGTGTATCTCATTTCCTACCCCTCCTGACTCCTCTACTTTGCTTCTATCTGCTACCTTGCCCTCCTCCAACAACCTACCCCCTCCAACAACTCCTCCCTTACCTTCCCATTACCATTAAACACCCTTCTACATCCCCCTTTAACCTATTCCCTCAACCTCCCCTCTGAAGATCCCTCTCTTATCTTCTCCCCCATCCTTATCCCCTTAGCATTTTATTTCTTTCTAAATTTAGAAGACTTTTATACTCTTCTAGATGTATATGTATTGTTCCTTCTTGAACCCATTCCCAATGAAAGTAAGCTTCCAGAGCTAACAGCCCTGCTCCCCCATCTAATTCCTCTGTATCAGTTCTTCTGGCACCTCATTTGTGTAAGATACTTACTCTTTTTAGCTGTTCCTGAATGATTTTGCTTTTTGAAGGCATATCATGCTCAGTTCTACCCCAATCTTTTTTATGAACTATCCAATTACTAATAACAATCTTAGACATGGGTTTTACATTTTACATATATAAAAAGTAAACAGTCTGTCCTTATTGAGTCCCTTGTAATTGGTCACTGGTATATACCTTATATTTCTCTTGTCCCTTATATGTCAAATATTCTATTAAATTCAGGTTTTTTTTTTAAATCCTTAAAGTCTGACAATTCATTAAACGTCTTTTTTTTTTTCGTTCAGAATTACGCTTAGCTTTACTGGGTGTGATATTTTCAGCTAGAACAGCAGTTCTTTTGCTCTTTGATATATAGTGTTCCAAGGCCTGTAGTCTTTTGGTGTCACCACTGCTAGGTCTTATGTGATTCTAATTGTGGCACCATCATATGTAAATTGTTTTTTTTTCTTGTTGCTCATAATATTTTGTGTTTGAGCTGGGGGTTTCAGAATTTGACTGTAATATTCCTGTGGGTTTTCCTCATAGGATCTCTTTCAGGTTGGTGATTGGTAAATTTTTTTCTGTTTCTACTTTCCCCTCTTCTAATGTATCAGGACATTTTTCTTTAATTATTTCTTATGATTTTTTTTTATCATAACTTTCAGGTAGTCTGATTATTCTTATATTTTCTCTTCTTGATATGTACTCCAGATCAATTATTTTTATTATGAGATATTTTATATTCTCTTCTATTTTTAAAAATTCTTTATATTTTGTTTTATTATTTCTTGATCTCTTATAACTTTATTGGCTTCCCCTTGCCCAATTCTGATTTTCAAGGAGTCAATTTCTTCCTTAAGATTCTGGATCTCCTTTTCTAATTGGTTGACTTTCTTTTCATAACCTTCTTGTTTTTCTTGGATTCTTCTTATTTTTCTTTTTAGTTTTTCCTCAATCTCTCTCCTTTGATTTTTAAAGTCTTTTTTAAGTTGTTCTATTAGTTGTTTTTGGGCAGGTGACCATTTGACAGTATTCTTTGGAGTAGGAGAGAGTTTCTTTGCTTCTGTATCATCCTCTGAAGATGAACTCCAGTCTTTCGTATTTTCATAGAAACTCCATATGGTTGGATTCTTTCTCCTTTGGCTGGGCATTTCTTTGTAATAGTTTAGTTCTTGTAATCATCTCTAGGCCTGGGGCATGGGGGATGGTGCCTCTGGCCTTAGATCCTCCTTCAGTTCTCCCCTCTGACCTTGAACTCAAATCAAGACCTCCAGCCTCCTGTAAATGCCCACGGTCAGCTGCAGCCCCACCTCACTGTATCTGCACTTACCAGGTGTGTCCTGGTTCCTTCTAACCCCTGTGGGGTCTCCACAGCACAGCTGAGTCTACTGTTTCTTGTCAGCAGAGGTTCCCTCCACTTTTCCTGGCTCAGACACCCAACTCCCTTCACTGTCCTAGAGTTAAAAGTTCCTGGGGTTGGGACAGAGGCAGCCTCCCAACCCAGCTAATGCCAGGACTTGCTGCTTATTGTTTAAGCTGACCAAGGACCTACCCTGGAAGTGTTTACTCTTCACAGGAAGGAAGCCTCATCCTGGGATTTTTCTTCAGATTTTCCCTGATTATTCCTTGAGGACTTCCTGCTCTTATTTATTTTAACTGCTCTGTGTTCACCCTGAGGTGCTGTTTTATTTCTTTTGTGGAGGAAAATCTTGAGAACTTGAAATTTTCTGACCATCTTCCCCAAATCCTCTCCATGTCTGATTCTTAAGTGAAAAAGGAGTGACTCAGGGGACCCTAGAGAAAAGAAAAGATTCAGAAATTCTTGGGAATCTCAAGAAGTGTAAAAGAGCAATAAATTTCTCAATTGTTCTAAAGTAAAATAATGGAATAAAGAAGTGAAAAGTGAAATATAGATTACAAAAAAACCCTAAATCAAATTTTTTAAAGAAGAAATCACAATGATGAAAAATGAATGAGCAATTTTATGTACAGGATGGAAGATTGTTCCCAAACATCAGAGTCTCTGATAAAGTGAATCCTATGCTTATGACTGAAATGGAAGACCATCAGATTCCAAGTTCATTGGCCAAACATGTGTTGTGAATGTATAAGGCTAGAAATATAGATGACCCCTCCCAAGTATCAAAATATTCTCAGATCTGGCCAGCCTCTCCTGTATATGACCCATCAGTCAGACCCTAAACTCATTCTTTTGACTCTTGTTTTCCCAAGTTTCTACAGTTCTAGAAGTGTGTTTAGATAATTTATTTCTCATAAAGAAACTGGCTAAACTTTTCTGATAAATTAGCTCAAACAAAACCCAAGCTAATTAAATATTGCTTCTTTTATTTTTTAACCAATAAAGGAACCCTCTTTCCTCCATCATGGTTGTTGTTTGGTCATTTCATTCATGTTCAACACTTAGTAAACCCGTTAGGGCTTTTCTTGACAAAGATACTGGAATAGTTTGCTGTTTCCTTCTCCAGATCATTGTACAGATGAGGAAACTGAGATAAACAAGGTTAAGTGAATTGCTCAGGGTCACACAACTACTAAGTGACTAAGGCCATATTTGAACTCATTAAAGATGAGTCTTCCTGATTCCAAGCCCAGTGCTCTATCCACTATGCCACCTAGCTTGCCCTTCTCCATCACAGTTACTCTTTTTATTATGTAATTAATTTTGTAATTAAGGAATATACACCATGGACAAATGAAAGCAATCATAAAACAAAAGTATAAACTGTTTTGGATATGACACATACACAGAGTGACCTCAAGCCCTCAATGTAATAATACATAACTCTTCTTCACTTGGCTGAAAAGCATCTCATACCACTCAATGCAGTCCAGAATCTGATGAATATCTCTTTAGAATTCTCTTCATGTTTTCATCCAGATAAGACTTTCTTCAAGCTCTCAGGAAACAAACTAGATGTTTAACTTTGTTCCTTTTTAAAAGATCTCATAAAACTCCCCCATCGCATCTCAGCTTTTCATAAAGACTTCACAGAGTTTTCTTTAAAATATACCACACACTTCTGAAAGGGAAGAAATTTCACATCACCTTCTCTCTTTCTTCTCCATAGATCCACACACCTCACAGATAGAACACATTTTCTCCCTGATTCCACAAGAAGATACATTGCAAAATAAGATATTTCTCAGATTTATTCCAACTGATAACCATATAAAATGCTTTTCTCAAAATTCCATTGGGCTCTTAATGACAATGATTTCAGGTGTTCAGTCTGGCAATCATAAAGGACATGGCTATTGGGCAAGTCCCTTCTCTGGGTTTCAAGTTTCCTCCTATAAATCAATGAGGATCAGACTATTTACCTCTGCAGTGTTTTTCAGCTCTATGGCCTATGACTTTTGATGATTCAGGAGAGAGTGACATTCAAGGATGTGGCTGTGGACTTCACCCAGGAGGAGTAGAGCCTCTTGGACCATCCTCAGAAGGCGTTGTACAAGGGGGTCATGCTGGAGAATGCCTGGAACCTACTATCCCTGGGTAAGGACACTTCCCCTGGTAACTCTGAGTCTGCAAGCAAAGGGGACATCTTCATTCCCTAGTGTGCAGGGTTTGGAGGATCTATCAATTACTAGAGAGAGAAAATATTAGTCTCCTGTGTCCAAGAGACAGACCCCTCATGCTGCCTAGTTTTCCTAGAAGAAATCTTTGCATTCTGTGATAGGAACCAGAGAGTTTCCTTTGTTGCACCTGATGCTGTCTCTTACCAATTCTAGGTAGCTTCAGGTCGGAGATCCAATTGGTGTGGAAGAATCTCAGACGTGCAACTAATCTCAGGGAGTTATTTGGTCTAACCTCTAGCTGGACGTGAATTTTGTCTGCCAAATCTCTGAGAACTGCTCAGGCAGCTCTTCCTTGCAACCCCTTCCTCTTTGGGATGGGCCTAGTATTTGGAATAGTCTTCTCTTTAACAAGCAGACATTGGTAGCTCATAGCTCTTACTCGTAGCCAGTGTAGCACATTTGTCCTTCATCTTCCTTCCTATTACCCCAAAATTCCCACAAAGATGGTGGGACAGGAAGCAAAGGGAATAGGCATTTATATTCACCAGCTATTTGCCATGTGCCGGGAAAAGTGATTTCTTTACACTATTATGTTACTTTATCTTCACAATTAGCTTTGAAGTTGGGTGATATTATCCCCAATTTACAGTTGGAAAACTGAGACAAACAGCTGTTAAGTGACTTGTCCAGAGGTACCCAGCTGGTAACTATCTGAGACAGGATTTAACCTCAGGCAACCCTGACTCCAGGTCCAGGGCTCTCTCTACTGCACCATCAGCTGCCTCTGATTTCTAGACAATGGAAACTACACAATGAGTCTATCCTTCTATGAAGAAGGTGCACAAGATCATATTCTCTGACTCCAAACAGGTTCCATGATTTTTCCCCCACCTCTCACCCAAAGGGGCAAACACTTCCTGAATGAACAGTACACAAGGTTTCTATAGGTCTCAGGAAGTGAGGAGCCGGTACATGGAGGACAGGGCAAAGGGTGATTCATCAAGGTCCCTGGAGCTGGGGCACAATTACCCTTTTACCCAGTTTGGGCATGAGGAGTTTCTGCCAGAACGGAGCATAACAGGATGGGAGGCAGAGGGTTTGGCTGTTTCTCAGAACAGGTTGTACAACACATCCCATTTTGGGTTACTTGCAACACAAACTCTGATGGGTCAGTATGTGTGACCAGAATGGAGTGATTCTCAAAGTGGAGCAGCTCTGTACCTACACTCTTCTCCCTAAAGTGAACTAAATTACAAGTTTCTCTCCATGCTCATCCTTAACTGACTCCCATGCCCAGGGTTCCCAGAGAAGATGTGGTCTCTTATTTTGAGCAAAAGGAAGCACCATGGATGCTGGAGCAAGAAGGCCTGAGGAGCTGCTGTCTAGGTGAGTGAGGTGAAAGCAAGTATATGAGACCTGTGATTACAAGAGGCTGCTATGTGTTATGGTGAAGCAAGTGCTAGATTTGGGGGCAGGAAGACCTGACTTGGAATTCTTTCTCAGATTTTTTTTTTAGTGGTGGCTTCCTGGGTCATTCACTGAAAAATGGAGCCTCAGTTTCCCCATTTGTCAAATGAGGCGGTTAGACTCCATGGCCTTTCAGCTCCTTCTAGGGATAAATCTATCATCTTATAAGAAGTCATTATTTGGAATATGGGGACCTGGAATCTTCTGAAAGTATCAAAAGGGGTTAGGTTCTCCAATATGAGCTCTTTCTTAGACCTTCAAGCCAACAAACATTTATTAAGTGCCTCCTGCATGCCAGACCCTTTGCTAAGCACCAGAGACATAAAGAGATACCAGGACATCCCCGGCTCTCTTGGAACTCACAGTCTGGTGGGGCTGACAACGCTCCAACAAGTATGCAGATACCCACTATGGACAGGATAAATTGGAGCAGGTCAAGAGAGGGAAGGCACTAAAGTTAAGAAGGATTGAAAATGATTTATTGTAAAAGAGGGGCTATAGCCAGGACTTCAGGGAAGCCAGGGCAAGTGTTCTAGGCAAAAAGGGTATTGAGAAAAACCCAGGGAGTCAGGAGGTGGAGTGTCCTGTTCACAGAACAGAAAGGAAGCCCATACCATATAGCATATATGGGGGGAAGTACGGTGAAAAAAAGATTGGAAAAGCAGGAGAAGGGGAGGTGATGAAGGGCTCTAGCAGCCTGAGGGAGGATTTTATATTGGATCCTTTGCTGGGGAGCCAGAGGAGGTTGTTGAGTGGGTGGTGACATGGTCAGGTGAGAGTTTTAGGACAATGACCTTGACAACTGGGTTGAGGATTGCCTGACTGGGGGGAGAGAGGCAGCCAGATCAACCAGCGGGCACTGAAATATCTGAGGTGTGAGGTGATTAGGGCCTGAATCAAGAAAGTGTCAATGGTGGAAGAGATGTCACACAAGTGGAATCATAGGCCTTTGTTCCATATTGCATATGGGGTCAGGAGTGTGAGTGTGTAAGAGTTGATGAGAAGTGCATGATACTTCATCTCTGAGCCTGGATTATTGGAGGATGCCTGCCATAGCATTGGGAAAGTAGGAAGATTTGAGGGTTGGGGCAAAAAGAATGAGTTTCACTTTGGATATGGTAGAAGGAGAACCAGGAGAGAGTTGTGTCACTAAAGCTTAGAGAGAAGAGTATCAAGAAAAAGGGGTGATTGACAGTGTCAAAGCCTGCAGACAAGTCAAGAAGAATGAGGTTAAAGAAATGACAATTTGAAGATTATTGGTAATTCTGGAGAAAGAAGGGTCAGTTGAACAATGAAGGTGGGAGCCAGACTACAGAGAGTTTCAAAAAAAGCAAGGGAAAGGAGTTGGAGACACCAGTTGTAAATGGTCATCTCTAGCTGTTTAGTTCTAAAAAAGAGGAAATAAATTGGACAATATCTCATGGGGATGTATGAATCATTGAGGGTGTTTTGAGAGAAATGATTTTATTTGTGTCAACAGGGAAGGAGTCATTAGTGTGGGAGAGAGTGAAAATCAGTGAAAAAATGGATATACTGGGGGAAGAATATAATAGGCTAGATGAGGGATGGAATGGGATTATTTGCACACATAAAGAGATGTGTTTTAGCAAATATAGCAAGCAAGTATCTTCTGATACTGGGGCCAAAAAGGAAATAAGGGCTCTGATTTATGTGATGGGAAAAAACTATTTTGAGGCTGGACTTTAAGAATGTCCCTCAAAGAGTTGATTTGTTTTTTAGATGCTATTATTTGTATGTAACAAGACAGTCTGCTTCCGACACAGGTAAATTACCCGTGTGGGCCCTTCAAATCACTGTTACCTCCCTGGGCCCCCATTTCCTCATTTGTAAAAACAAACAAACAAAAAACAAAAACACACAAAAAAAACCATAATCATGTTTAAATGATGAGACCTGTGAAACTCCTCATTTTGGACATAGCTTCTAACACTGCCACAATAAAATTTATAAGGCATATTAAATAAGAATTCTTTCTGAAATAGTAATTTTTAAATAATTGCATTATTGATATTAAAAGAAGACACAAGGGATCTGCTTTATTTCCTTTATTTCATCATATTTGTACTGTAGGATGATGAGCATTACAATGTATTATCTTGACGTCCTGAAGAATGCTGAATTTCTTTTTTGAACCTGATTTTCAGGCACAGTCCTGTGCCCCGATAATTCTGGAAAGGAAACTGGCTTGCCAAAGATTTACTGCCGTCACATCGAACACACACACGTTTTGCTTCTTCTTGCTCTCTAGTAGATCCAAATACTTGAGGCTACTCATGACTTTCTGGAAAACTACGCTTGTCAGTTTGCTGAACTCAGTGAGTTCAGGAGTGCTAGCGCTATCCATACTGCCACAGTTCAACTTCATTTACTTTTTGTCCCTCTGGATGTGAAGGATACATGAAGGAGCCAACAAAAGCCATGGCCATTTCCCCCCAGCTTCTGGGTCAGAAGGAGGTGCTAGTAGTTTTCTGAGAAGAGTAAAGGCCCCGTCCTGCAGACAAGCTCGAATAAGGCTACCAAGGTTTAAGGAGTCACTTTACGATACAAGAGCATTTCACCCTAAAGGGTATGTATGAACTTCATACCTGTGCTCTAAGGAACCCTTGAGGACGTTGCCATTTCCTTCAGTACAGAGTTTCTAGCGCATCACTCCCTTTTCTAGTGGAGGAGGTGTTACAGTGCCCCTCGCTTCTGGGATTATGTTCCCACTGGGCTCCAGGGCCTCTATATATACCTCCCAGAGGGTGACATGCCAGCTTGCCCAACAATGCTGCTACATTGTGATATGATCATTACCCGGGACAGTCATTTTGACCAAAAATGGTCATCTTAAGTTTTACCAAAAATATGATCTGACCTTTTAACCAAAAATGGTAATAATACTGATTTTAAAATATATTCCCACTTATGAGGAACTGTCTGATGTTGGCTACTGCCAAGTGGGGGTTGTGGCAAGATGGGGTAGGAACAAGATATTAGGAAGTAACCGGAGCTCACGCTCCCGAGGCAGGGGCTGTGCTAGGCGGAGTTGTGGTGAACTGGGATGGGAACTGGATACGGAGAAGTAACCAGAGCTCACGCTCCTGAGGCAGTGGGCAGTGCTATGTGGAGCTGTGATAAGCTGGGGAAGGAACAGAATACAAGGAAGTAGCCAGAGCACGTGATCCTGAGGCAGGGGGCTGTGCCACGTGGGAGTGGGACGGCAGAGAACGAGTTCCTTTGTCTAGTCCTCTTCCCTAGGTGCAACGTTAACCCCAGACGTCTCCTTCCTGACTTCCTGCGTCACTTCCCGCGTCACTTCCCCTCCCTTGGTGCGCTAAACCCAGACATCCCCTTCTGGTATCTGATCCTACAATCAATGACTAGTAGGCGGGCTGAGGAGGAGGGGCTAAGTAGGTACTTAAGGAACAGTAGAGATCGGAGTTCGCTCTCTCTTTTGCTCCTGCTCTCTTGCTCTGGCCTTCCTGCTTGGCCTTGCTGTGATGGCCTCTGAATAAAGGTTGAGTGTTGGCACCTCCTGATCGGCTCGTCTCTGTGTGTTTATCCGGGTGGGCACTGAAGACTGGTAAGTATGACCTTGGCAGCCTGCTCCTTATAGGAGGAGAGTGCACGGCGCGGCCGGCACAACTTTTTAAAAACTGATTAGCCAGTACCAATTAGTTTTGATCATTACTGCTTTAAAATATTCATATCTTGTAATGCTAGAATCCTCCCATCCCTAATTTTTAAAATTATTTCCCCATTACATCCTAGAAGTCTTATTCCTATATATCCTTTTGTCTAATTCTAACCAAGTTAAGTTGTATTTAGTCTTTTAACATTTATTTTTATTTACTTGATGTGGCCCATCTATGACCATTAAATCTCTCCAATGATTTTACTCTTCCTTCAGTTCTGTAACGATTGTTTTACATTTTTATGTTTTTACATCTTGATCCATTAACTACCATACATCTTATATATACTTAAGTGGAATTTCAATTTCTATCTTTACCTTCTGCAGTTTGTTAGTCAAACAAAAATGATGATGATGATTTTGAGGATTCATTTTTCATCCCACTACTTTGCTGGGGTAAATAATCTCAGCCTGTCTTAAGTTTGATTATCTAGAATTTTCTAAGTAAACTATCATATCTTCTTCAAACAGAAGTATTTTGTTTCCTCTTGGCCAATGGTTACTCTACTAATTTATTTTTCCCATCTTTCTGCTTTACATAGCTGGGGTTGACCAAGTAATAGTGAAGACAGGAGCCATCCTGAATACAGAAAAACCATAGTGATACAAAGAAAAAACAGGATGGAAAGTACTTTCCCCAACCCAAAGCCTCAAGGTTCTAAACTCAAATACCCAAAGATTAGGCAATAAGCAAGAAGAACTAGTGGTCCTAAGATAAGTAAGCAAATTGACCTCCAAAGTATTACTGAATATTGGTGGATAAAATGCATGTTTAAACAACAATGGCTGTGTTTGGGCATATTTTATTAAAAAAAAAAGAAGAGATAAAATATACGGTAACATCACATATCAAGGTGAGGAAATCCAGGAACTAGAGGAGAGAAGCATGGAGAATATCTGAGTGAAGGTCTAATGGGGAAGAAACAAGAGATGATGTCATAGACTACAGACCAACTGGACAGAAAGGAAATAGATACAGAAGTGTGCAAACAGATCACAAACCCGGTAAAGAGGTGTGACACAGTAGCAGGAGGGGGTATGTGTGAGGGAGTACTTCACCGGTCCAGACATCTGCTGGAGTGCATGCATGTACTGTCTCTTTGACAAAAGAAATGCCTTCTTGACTTGCCACAGGGATGGTTTCATCCTTCAGAAAGTGGAAAAACCAGGAAGAGGAAATCCCATTTTGAATCGGGAGTCTCACTAACAGGGAAGAACTGGTTGAAGGGGTGAGGGGCCACTGCCCCGAGTTGTTTTCACAGTTACTTTTTCTTTTCTAATCTCAGCTGTAATGGGTTTATTTGTGCAAAACCTTTTTGATTTTACATCAAAATTACCTATTTCATCTTCTGCGGGCCTTTCTATCCTTCGGTCACGAACTCCTCCCTTAAGCACAGGTCTGCTGGGTAATCTCTTCCTTGTCTCTCTAATTTGTTTAACCAGTATAGAATCGTTTTGACAACTACTGCTTTGTAGTATATTGAGAGATCTAGTATCACTAGGCCCCCTTTGTTTCTATTTTTTCCCTTATTATCTTCCTTAAGCTTCTTGATCTATTGTGCTTCTAGATGAACATTGTTGCTATTTTTGCTAGTAGCATAAAGTAATCTTGTTTCTCTGGAATGCTCTTAAGTATACTATATCACCTACAAAAAGTTTTAATTTTGCTTTTTTACTTATGTTTATTATTTGAATTTTTAAAAAATCTTACTACTATAGCTAGCATTTCCAGTACTACATTAAACAGAAGACATGAGAACTGATATCCTTGTTTTACCCCTGATCTTACTGGAAAAAAATTATAGTCTATTTCTTTACATATAATATTGGCTCTTAATTTTAGATATTTATTATTCATCATGTTAAGGGAAGGTACATTTATTTCTATGTTTTCTAGTGTTTTAAAGATAAACAGCATTCAGAGGCAGCTAGGTGACACGATATATAGAACACTGGTCCTGGAGTCAGGGAGACCTGAATTTAAATCTGTCCTCAGAAACTTGCCAACTGTGTGACCTGGGTAAGTCATTCAACTTTTGTTCGCCTCAATTTTCTCTCAGTAAAGTGTTTATCAACCTTTATTCAAGGTCTTGGCTTGCTAAGGAGCTAAAGACCCCATTTTTCGGTTATCTCTGCTAGCCTTACCAATAAACTGAATGTGTTTGGAACTTTGTTGCCTCAGTTTACCTTAATCACTCACAACTTTTGGAATTATTTTTTGAATGTTTGCTAGATTTTAAGTGTTCCAGAGGGTTTTTCCTTTGAAAGTTCATTTATGGCTTGTTCAATTTCTTTTTCTAAGAATGAATAAGATGTCTAAATTCTCTCCTGTTCTGTTAATTTGGGTAGTTTACAGATATATTTCATTAAGTTGTCAGTTTTATTGGCTAATGATTTATAGAATGGTAACTCACATTTCAGACAGTTAGGGGGTGTAATGGATAGAGTGCTGGCCCTGAAGACAAAAGGACCTGAGTTCAAAGGCCTCAGACACTTACTAGCTATGTGACCTTAGGCAAGTCACTTAGCTCTGTTTGCCTCAGTTTCCTCATCTGTAAAATGAGCTAGAGAAGGAGATGGCAAACCACTTCAGTATCTTTGCCAAGAAAACCCTAAATGTGGTTGTGAAGAGTCAGATGTGATTGAAAATGACAGAACAACACAACAATGACCTAGCATTCATACAGCTCTTTTAAAGCTGGCAAAGTGTTTTACAAATATTGTTTTAGCCTCAAAACCCTAAGCATATTATTATTATTTCCATTTTAGAAATGAGGAAACTGAGGCAGATAGCAGTGACTTGGCCATTGTCACACAACTAGTAAACGTCTGATGCTGGATTTGAACTCACATCTTCCCGACAGCAGACCTAGCCCTCTATCCACTGTACCACCTATCAGCTTATTTTGTTAGTATGGGGGGAAAACGGTTCCTAGTTTTATTTATGAATTCAATTTTTTTTGCTTCCAATTTTGATCATGTCTTTCTTGATTTTCAGGATCTCTATTTTGGACTTTAATTTGGATTTTATAAAAATGTTTTTGTTTTCTAGTTTTTTTAGTCTCATGCCTAAATTGTTGATGTACACTTTCCTTTTTTTGTTAATGAAGTTGTTTAGAGATATAAAATTTTCCTAAGGACTGTTTTGGCTATATCACAACATTTTTGATATACTGTCTCACTGTAATGAATGTTCACATTGTCTCATCTTCACAGTGACAGTTTCTCTGATTTGTTCTTTGACATACCAATTCTTTAGGATTGTTTACTTAGTGTCTTGCTATTTTTAATACTTTTTTCTTCAGCCTTTTATTAAGAATTTTTATTGCACTATAATCTATAAATGATGTGTTTAATATTTCTGTTTTTCTGCATTTGTTTGTGAAGTTTTAGGCCCTAATACATGGTCAAGTTTTGTAAAGCTGACATGCACAGCTAAGAATATGCATACTCCTTTCTATTCCCCAAAAGTCTACTATTTTTAATTTTTATAAAATTCTATTCAGGTATTTAACTTTAGTTTATTTTTTGTTCAGATTTATCTAGGGCTGAAATGGGTACACTAATGTACATTTAAATTAGCTTTCAAAGAGTTCACAGTAATGGGTAGGACCTATGATATAAAATGCTACCTGAGCAGTGATCCGAAAGGATGAATGGTCCAGATTTAGCAAATTACTTAGAACATAGTAGGCACTTAACAAATGCATCTTAATTGATCAACTGAATAAATTCTGAAGACAGAAAGGGAAATAGTTATAGTGAGGAGAAAAAAATG